AGTAACGAGTAACGACCCTATCTAAATCCCAGTAACGACTAACGCGTTCCTGATTTTGGCATAATAACTAGTTACCGTGCTCGTTACCACAAAAATAACGTAGTTACTGTAACGCGTTACTTAATAACGCGTTAGTCCCAACACTGGGTATGGTGCACACTCCCTCACTAGATGGATTAACTTTGCTGTCACTGACAACTTGAGTCAAGAGTGCATTATATTTATGCTTTTAGGAAATAATAAATAGCGGTAGTTGTGCAGGGTTATTTAAACTCACATGTCTTAAATCATCCAGGACCCGGTCTTCAACTCCTTCATCCAAGAAGAGCTCTCTCACGCTGTCAATCACGTCATCGATTATGGACAAGTAGAGCTTGGCCTGAAGTTGTTTACGAAAGAGCAAGTCAGAGGGTGTCGGTGGTTAAAAATCCTTCACAGAAACTAGTTATGGATGTTTTCATAACAAGTCAAAAGCGATTTAAACACTGTTTTCTGTGCCTCAGTGCTGGAATATATAGACCCGAGGTGGTTTTCTAAGCATATCAACGCCACTCTTCAATCCGGGTGACATAAACAGGCGAGACAAATCTGCCATTTGTCATAACAAACGCACTATTGCACACCTTACTGAGCATCCCTGCAGATATATTCAAGTAAAAAAAAGTAGTAAAACAATATTATGAGCAGGCTTCTTATTGGACAAAAATCTAGCTGATCTTACTGCCTTTTGCTTGTTGAGCGCATTAATCTAACTCACAGTTTTGCGATCAGTTTGACCCGATTAACTAAAACGGTTCCGTTTCTTACCACTGGGCCTGTGTCAGTCAGCATCCTTGGAGAATGACTGGGGAACTTTCACACTAGACTTCTACCCATTTAGAAACATAATAGACAATTAACTGTGACTAAGTCGCATTGTTTTACACGAGGCATGCACGCGCAGGTGACCGCAATCAGCATCAGGCGCGCAGACAGGTGCGTTGTTTTTTCAGGAGGGGAAAGTGATTGATTTAAAAATGTGATTTCAGTTTCTTGCTTCAAACAAGATGAAGGTTCAGGGCTTCCTAAGTGCACTTGTCATATTAGAGGTTTATTTCAGTGGAGGTGGGTTGAGGGGCTGGTGGCTGCTGGACCTCAAATAGCATGTTTTATGGCAACAACTCCAAAATCTGAGCACCCTGTCCAACACTAATAACCTCTTCTTTCTCTAGTTTCCTGGTTACTTTCAGTAGAAAAGTTACACAGCTGGCACAGTGCTGGGAAATCAGTGCACTTTTCCTGATCCCAGGAGTGCACAATGCCGGTAGTTAAAAATATTCCACCCTTTACAAAACACTGTTTGAACTTGGTGTTCAATAGATTCAGAGCAGCAGCGGGAGCCGTGACCCCTGCTTCTTGCAAGTTGTCTGTTTTGGCGATGCTGGGACTCTTTCAACACTGTTGGTTGACAGCTCTGATGAGGATGAGAGCGATGCAGCTGAAAAGCAGCAACACGAGACACCCTTGTGGATACTGCAGTTGCTGGAAGTAAACAGGCAGTTTAGCTGTCACTTCACTACAAAGCTTCTGTGGACTCACATAGAGCCCTCACCTGAACTGTAAGAAAATAAAGGCCCTGTTTCCACATTGATATGAGGCAGTGCTGCATTAGCTCTCCGATGAGCTTTTTTTTTTTTTACCTTAGACAAAGAAAGTATGGTGTAATTTAAACTTGAGACTGGATTTATTCAGTGGAAAACCTCTATTCAGGCAGGCAGTGTTGTGACGGTTAAACAATGCTCACTAAGGGATCCAAAGTGTGCCAATAAAATAAAAACATACCATTACACCACAAACACCTCCTCTGCACCCATGCAGACTCCTCAGACCATGCAAAGTTTTTCCAATCTTCTGTTGAGCCTGTGAAAATTATACTCTCAACTTTTCACAACTGTCGTTAGCTGACAGGAGTAGTACCTGGTATGGTCTTCTGCGGTCATCCACTAATTGCAAGGAGCTTGGTAGTTTGATCCGTGGCTGATCCAGTGTGAGATACTTAAGCCCAAGTTGTTCTCCACATGTTCATCAGCATGTGAATGAGCTTAATAAAATGGGTGGATGATATAAAGTGCTTTGAAGCACAGGCAAAGTAGAAAAGCACAGTTTAAGATCCAGTCCATTCACTATTCTTCTGCACACGTTGGTTGTAAATAGTTGTTAATTTAGATGCTGTTGCCTTCTTATCAAAGAATGGGGCAATTCTTCCTTGACCTGTGGTATCAACAAACCATATTGACCCAGGGAACTGCCACTCACTTTTTTAGACCATTTTCTATGAACTCCAGAGATGGTTTTATAGAAAAATCTCACTAGATCAGCGGTTTGTGAACTATTCAGAGCAGCTCATCAGGCGCCAACAACCGTACCACATTCAAAGTCACATAAATCACCTTGCTTAGTGTGAACATGCCTCAGCACACTGAGTTGCTGTCATGTGATTGGCTTAGACATTTGCATTAAGGAGTTGAACAATTGTACCTAACAAAGACAGTGTATATTTTAAGACTATACTTAAGTTATGATTGTCAGTGACAAAATTTGTCAAAAAAAATCATAACTGGACTTTAAGTGTTCCTGAAGGGCAGTAAAACTCATTTTACAGATTTAAGAAGAACATGTTTTCTTTTAAAGAGGGAGAGACTTAATAGATTGCATGTTGAGGCATTGGTTGAGAATGACTCATAAACACAGATGCCCTTATAAAGCATACTGCACAATAAAACACCAGCAGTGTAGTGAAACAATACTGAAACTTACTGACTTCTCTCTGTCTGTACCGGCGTTCTGAGCAACTTCATGCAGCTGCCTGCAGCAGTTTATCATGCCCTACAAATCATACGTCTCAGCAAAAGCCTGCAGTGATGGGAAGCATTTAATTTTCACACTGTTTTGAATCTTAGTGAGGTGCAGGCTTATAACTGCTCTGCCCCCGTGTTGAGTAAATTACCAAGTGTGGAGAAAAAACAAGTGCGAGATAACAGCTGTGAAAGAAGTACTACCATGACTCATTCTGGTTTAATTGCTTTTTCTTTTTTACTTTTTCATGTATATAATATCCAGCTTAAGCCAGGTACTTCATACATAAAAGTTATCAATAAACACCTTTTTGTTCAGTATGGCCCTTCACCCCCTTTTTTTTTTTTTATTATCATATATAAACCCGATTCACAACCCAGAGAGCAGAAAGATACAGAATTGATTTGTTTAAATAAAATTACAGTCCTCCAACACAACACAACCTCAGTCAAAGGGTCCGCTCAAGATAAACAATACTTTTGTTGCTTGAGACAAAAAGAAATCTCACTTTATATATTATCAGTACCCAATATATGTTGTGATGTTACCTAAACATCACCATTCTTTAAACACAACAATCCAACATTTTCGTGCCATTTCCACAAAGATTTTGTACAAATAAAAAAAATTCAAAGTGTGCCAACTTTAAATATAGATGGACAACACAGCAGCACCACCCGTAGCATCGGTTGATATTTAACCTCTCTCTAAAGTAATGATCTCAAAAGGCCATTACTTAAGTTGCTTATATTACACAACGTGTTTGGCGTGCATTTATTAACTGATGTTGATAATTCTGGAGGACAGTGCAGATATTGCAGACGCAAGCGTAATCGTATAAGCTGTAAATCTCATACAATTTATAAATCTATTAAATGTAAAGTGCTAGGTATAAGGACTGTGTTAAATTGTTTATTAGGGCTAAACAAGTTCAGTCTCAGTTAAAGGATATAAAAATCATAGAACCTCCATCAGAAATGCTACCAAGCTGCATCATTTTATGAATTCTAAAACCAGATATAAGCAGAAAGTCTCGCTTCACCCTGTTATTTTTAATATCCCTTCACCTTTAAGAAGATTTTGAAAATCATTTTAGACCAAAGAAATAACTTCCTCTAGTAAGTGTCTTTAATCATCATTGCGTCATACAGCCAGACTGCCTCTGTGACTCTGTTTCAATCCATTTCTTTTCCACTTCCACCTAAAAAAGAAAAAAAAAGTTAGTTCCAATAAATTAAAAAAAAAAAATCTATCCACAATTAAGCACAGATGAAGATATTTTTCCGCTGAAGCATCTCACCTGACAGTGATAGCGCGTCCAACTGGTCACATGTTTCTGCGGCTGGATGTCATTCACAGTGCCCAAGGATTTAACCCTGGTCTGTGACACAACCGCGCCCACAATTTCACATTCCATCGTGACAAAAGGGTACCAGTCATTTGGGATCTCCTGATCAGATCCCAGCTCCAGTTTGCAGGAAAACGAGTGGGGATGATCCAAGGCTGCAAAGCAGGACAGAAAGGTCACTTGCAGCTGTCGTCTTACATCGCAGCACGACAAACATACTGTGCACAGGCAGAAGGAGGCAAGAGTAAAAAGCAGTATGAGAAAAGGATGTGTAAGGCTAAATGTTAAGGGGGACCTATCATGCTCCTCATTATTTCTGTCACTTATGTACTGTTAAAGTAGTCTCAGATTAAACATGGCTACACTTTCAAATAATGAGGTCAATGTATGTGTAAAGCTTCAGACTGCACCAAATACTCTTTTTAACTGTTGTCATATCTCTTGTCTCACAGAGCCCTGGCTGTGGACATTAAAGTTAAAGCTGCTGTTCAAACCTTCTGTTTACAAGGAGCAGCCAATCATAAGAAAGCTAGCTAAAAGGGTCGGAAACAGCATGTTTCAGACTTTGCACCAATGAAGCATGTACCGTAATTGTCGGGCTATAAGCCGCTACTTTTTGCACAAGCTTTGAACCCTGCGGCTTTTAGTCAGGTGCGGCCTTTCTATGGATTGTCCATGATTTTTCTCATATCATAAGACGATTTGTTTTGTTTGTTCCGCTGTTGTACGGCACTACGTTGCCTGGCGGAAGGATCGGGGTTCAAGAGTGGTATGTTCGTTGTCCGCCAGGCAACGTAGTGCCGTACGAAGTAGCGCGAAAAACAAACTTCAAAGTAGCGCTACCCGTTCAGTGGGAGGCGTGGATGATGAGCGGCGATAAACTTGCGAAAAGCAAGTTAGGCCCAACTCCACCAGTGGATTCTGACGGCGTGGAAAAGTGTGAAAACATCCACGATCACCAACGGATTTCGAAGGGCTGGACTGCTGCATGATGGAGAGGAGGACACCGCCACGGCCCTTCAGAGGGTGTTCAACTCTGACACTGACAACGAGGATTTCTTTGGTTTTGAAAGTGACAACGAAGGAGAGAAGCGGAGAGTGGATGACGAAGCCACCCTGAGCCTGTTCGTTTCCGACACTGGAGAAAAGGACTTTGGTGGTTTTAGTGCGCAGGAAGAAGAGAAAGATGGTGGTGAATGACTGACTTTTCTTCTTGTTAAAGCCGTGTCACTGCACCTGAGCCTAAAAGGTAGTCCAAATCTATTTTTCTGGTGTGCTGTAGGTTATTGTTATGTACTACATTTGTTACTCATTTATGAAGCACAGTACATGTTTCATATTTGTAATTACCGCTACTTGTGCATATACCTAAAAAATTATGCAAATATGTACCCATAACTTGTTTTTCAAAATATTAATAAAAGGGGTGTGTCTCCAAACAGCCATCTCTTTCCTGACAGTTCGCTTTGTGCATATTCTCTTACATATGATAAGTCAACATTGAAACACCTGCGGCTTTTAGTCAGGTGCGGCTAATGTATGTACAAAACAGGATTTTCCCCTGATTTTAGCTTGTGCGGCTAATATTCAGGTGCACTTTGTAGTCCGGGAAATACGGTAATCACAGAAAACTATTCAAATTTAGAGAGCTTAAAACTATATACAGCTGGAAAAGTGCAACAGGTTCCTTTTTGACCTGTCATAAGCGTTACCCATATTCTTTGCAGGCAGTCTGTCGATCCTCCACACGATCGCCGAAAATACATTCTCGTACTTGACGGTGCCGATCGACACCTGCATGACAGGCTGTGAATCTGCAGCGGTGACTGAGCCCAAGCAGGCATTTCTGTTCATGCGGGCCTTTAAAGACCTCTGTCGCAGTAAGGCCACCGTCTGTGTCACTTTGACCCAGTCGCCTGGCACCGGAACGCGGATCACAACGTTCTCACACAGCGGGTAGTGAGTGTCAGACTCCCTCATGCAAGAAAGGAATGTGGTTGACATGTTGAGAAAGGCCTGGAGCTCCACGTAGGCACCTTGAACCGTTACTGTAGCTTTGATTGAGAAGGGAATTTCAGTGCAACCCAGGACCCTTGTTTTGTAGCGCATCAGCTCCACTCTGCATGCATCAGGAGGCAAAAACTTGATCAGTCGCGACCTCTGAAACTCTGTCTCGTTCACGCATTTGTGGAAATGGTAGCCTGCAATCTCCATCCAGAGTTCACTGGCCTCCTCTGAGCCATAGCTGGAGTCAAAGTGCAGCAGCCCGAGGTCATTAAGGGCAAGAAAACAGTCTCCTAGTCCATCCAGAAAAGCAAGACAGTGAATCTGGGTGAAGGCTGTTTGCTCCATTACGCCCCCACACTTATCTAGCTGTATCCAGATGTGATCGGTGATCTGCAGCGACAGCTCCTGTTCCTCGTAGTGCCGCCTCTGCTGGTGGGGGACACTCAGTTTGAAGATCTCCTCCTCCATGGAGACCACTAGGTCCTCGATCTCATCGTGCACCGTGGAGCCAAACTTGAGGAGCTGCTCTACCTCAGCTTCGTGACTAACCTCGAACTTTGGGTGAAAGCGCTTCTTTTCTGTGTAGGAGAAATGTTCCACCTTGACTGTGAGGACTTTGCGGGGCTCGCTGTAGCTTTCCAGTTTAAGATCCGAGAGCCTGCAGTGAGGGAGAAGCTGAAATTCCTTGAATGGCTTCTCAAGGCCTTTCTCATAGAACATCTGTAGCACACCTCCCGGCAACAAGCGGAGATAGATCGGTCCCCACTGACGCGAGGACATGCGGTTCTTTTTTTCAGGAATCCTGAGCATGATAGACCAACCGTCTCTCTTCTGACTACGAAACAAACCGCGAGGCGCAAACTGAGATGTACCTTCACTTAACACCTCACTTTTGCAACTTAGCCGCCTCTGCCCTTCTTTGTCGGTCTCTGTCTGGCTGTCGATTTTCGTATGTAGGCCTTCCAGTTTGTTGCAAACAACAGAGAAGGAAAGCTGGTCACGCTGAGGCTCACTGCCATCTTTGGTCCGTATAAAGAAACGTGGAAGGCTGTTGTCCGATTCAGAGTCTGAGGAGGAGCTACCCGCATCCGTATTTAGTCTAGGTCCATCCCAGAACGGGTTAAAGTGTCCTGAATTCCCCTTGAAAGAAGGGAAAGGGCTTGGCCCATCTGATGTTTGATTCAGGGCCTGTGGTGCAGGAGAGAAAACAGAGGTGGTAACTGGGCTGGAAAAACTCCTTGAGAAGGCCTTCTTGTCCCATGTTTTGGAGTAAAATGGGGACGCGCTGCTAGGAACCCCACCTTCAGGAGTGCAAAACGGTGTGCTACATGGTACACAGGAACTTCCGCTAAGACTTGAGTGACTTTGAGGCGATTCCAGGGAACTACTAAAGCTCCAGGAAGTATCTTTGATTGGAGGAAGCACTAATTTCAGGCCGTTGGGACGCGGCACTGATGCTTTGATAAGTCCTGGGGACTGCAGAGGCTTCTGAGGTGACGAGAGCGGTGTGCTGTCATCTTCAAACGTGACCCAGTTTGAGTGATTTGTGGAGCACATGGCCAAAGAGGTCTGCAGACCGGTTCAAAACGACAGCTCCTCCTTTGTTGGATTAACTGTCCCCGAATTCAAAAGTCTTCTTCTCTGTTAGAAGAAAAAGAAAGAGAAGAATGAGACACTATTGACCCAAGTTCAAATGTAAAACTAATTTAGATCAAATCTCTAAAGTCAGCTCCCATCTCAAAGCACGAACAACTGAAACCTTTGCTATCGGTACAAGAGAGAGCCCTCGAGGACATAAATAAAACATGTCTTTAAAGTACTCCATTAAAGCTTAATCAACACCTGACCCGGAACAAGTTCATTTCTGTTTCTGTTTTCTCCATTACAATTACCTAAGGTTCGCTGACGTGACAGCTGAATAAGCATTCTGCAGCCCAGTGTTGGCGAAGAGGGAGTCGAATTTCTCACACCACAGATTTATTTTTTATAGACATTTATTAACTGAAAACTCTCAGAAGTAATTCCATCATAGAACATGAAAACTCATTCCCAGAGTTTTATCTTTTAGCTATAAAGATGAGGACTAAAGGAATGGTGACAGGAGACTGCAGGGAATTCTTGCACTGACAGATTCGCCTTTACACCGGTAATTATAACAGGGATTTCATGCATGTTTATGCAACTTCAATAAACTCACTCACTCTCACACATAGACCACCTCCTTCATTTAGATCAGTTGTGCAAGCAATACAAGAAATGATACAGTCTTTATTCTTCTAACAATATCCCAATACAAAGTGTCAGCCTGAGAAATGGGTGAAGAAATCTGTTCTTCTTAGTCAAAATAGCAAGATTTTGGAAAGCTGTCAATGCAAACCAAACACTGTATCGCGGTTTCTCAAAGGATTTTTAGAATCTCTCTCTTTCTGTAGCTCAGAATTTTTTTTTAAATGCATAGAGGATAAAGCAAAAGACTTCAGAGATGTGGCAGTTCAAAGCTGCTGCAATGTAAAAAGGTGTATTTTAGACCTGCTGTGCTGTCTAAATATTTCAAAGCCAGCGTGCTCCAAATTGTGTGGGAGAAAAGTTAGCCATGGCAGAAAAAGTCCAGCCTCGTTAAAAAACCATGAGGTCAGATGAGAGAAGCAGGTACACTGGGGCTCATCTAGTTCCACAGGAGGCCTCAAAAAGGGACAAAGTGTGCATGGCATCTTTATGGTGGATGGTATTTTAATATATGAATGAGATATTGAAAAAGAATGGCGATATTGCTAAACAGGAATGACGTTCAGGCTAATCTGCCAGCGGTTAGAGAGTAAACATGTTTTAATCTTTATACGATCTCGCAGTTAATTTTCCAGCTACTCAATCACAATCTGCCTTTTGATGTGCTGGCAGTTCAGCTCTCAGTAATATCCGGCTCAGTGAAGCCCCCTTACAAAATACAGACGCTTCATCTTCCCATAAAAAAAAAAAGGGGGGGGGGGGACAGAAAGCCTCAATTACAGGCTCCCTCCTCGCTCCAAGACGCAGCCATGACTTGCATGGAGGAGACATTGAGTGGAAAGTTCCTCTTGCTACAAATAAACAGGGAAGTGTTTTGTGTGAGTAAGGGAGGGTGTTCTGATTCAGAGGAGTGGACTGACAACTCTTCAGTCAAACAGTGAAGAACATCTTTCTAATGAGAGGATGTTTGCGAGGTTTTACGCAGACGTTTCCACAAGCTCATCCGTCTCTCCAACTTATAGAATCCATCTGCTTCGATTCACAGAGGAGGAGGAAATCTCCACAGGGGGTTACTGACAGTCTTTCAGACTCATTTCCAAGCCAGCCATCTCTTCCTGGGCTCTCCAGCAGGCAATACAGAAATGAGACTCTGCTAAATCAACAGAGGACAAAAGAATACATTCCACACATTCCTCTGGGACAAGCCGCTTTGCACACAGGAAATAGCAGGCTGCTGTATTCGTGTGAACTGACAACAAATATTATCTTAATGTCAGTTTATCACACTTCAAAAATCCGCCAGTTCTACAGGTCGTAAATTTGGATTGGTCTGATTATTTATTACTGCCAAAGCGCGGCGAAAAGAAAGAGACTGGGGATTAAGAGAGCCTTATGAAACTAATTATGTACTTTAAAAACATAAAAACAAGTCGGAACTACCATGAGGATTTTTACACTGATTTATTATTGTCTCGAGACTTAAGATGACCTCATCAGATTTCTACCAGCTAAAAACCAATGCAAAGTTAAGGCCTGTAATTCTGCAGGGCAACATCAGGCTCCCTGTACAGGTTGGTTTGCATTTAAATTACAGCCCTGCAGTTATGACAAACAGCCAGCAAAGACCATCCGGCTTCTCAAGTTTATCATTACTGATCATTACTGTAGTTATTTAAATTGCTTGCTAAACCAAGGGTAGGCAAAAAAAAAAAAAAAAGTTGCGCACCTCATGGACATTAACAAGGTCTAATGCTGCTTAACCACAGCTATTTGGCCTCGCTAGTTGCTGAAAATGTAAGCTTTAAAAGGCGCCAGTTGTGCAGAGCATTTTGATATTGGTTTTTTCAAAGCTGCATGGGATGATGAATACACGCGCTAACAGATCAGCTGGCAGATAGTGGAAAAATTAGGCATGGAGCATGAGAACATGCAATCCACAAAGGGGAACAGCCATGAAACTACTGAAAATAGTATTGCTTATATGGTTAATTACTGATAAATGATGACTGAGTGGAAAGTCTTGTGGTTCAACAATAAAACTGCTGAATTTGGAAAAAAAAAAATAAAACACACACAGATACAGACAGACACACACACACACACACACACACACACACACACACACACGTTCGTGAACTCAGCAGACAGATGCTTCCTGATTAAAGAAGACACTTTCCTGCTGGATTCTCTGGCCACTTCCTGTACATTCACACTACAGCCTGGAATA